TATTTTTTTTGGTCAAGAAATTAAGTTCTTTTCAACCGAGACAAAGTATTAGATATTGATGCTGAATACTGAAAGGAATATGCAGCTTAGTGATTTTTTGCCTATCTAGAGGCTAAAACATAGTGAAAAACCCAAGGATCACTAGGCATTTACAGTGTGAAAACGGCATGAAAGGCAAACATGTCAGTAGTCCTCAGAGGAAGTGATGGTGACTGTGGATCCAGGAGCGTTCGTCATGCATGCCTTCTTCAGGCACTGGATGAACCCGGTGGTCTTCAAGGAGGTTGGTTCCGGGCAGGTGGTGGCTGCTGCAGCGACGGCGGCACCCAGATCTGGAGGAGAGAGCAGTGACACCTGCGTCACCACAGCGCCGCGGTCAAGGAGGCTTCCGTCTGCACCAAGCTGTTATGAGAATGTTAAAATTCGGATGAGCAACCACGGAAGCTTAAACCAGGACAGCTCAAGAAAGCCAAGCAGTATGGCTTTTTTTCCCGTTTGGGTTCTTTTTTTAGGGCCTCTCAACAGGTTGCTGCCCACAACAGTCAACTAGCTCTTAGATGTCTATCTACTGATAGGTAACCGGCTCGCCCGGGAATCGAAATCTGGTTCCTTTCGGATAAAACAACTCAGCGTTATTAACTCAAGAAAACAAATAATTTGTGGTCTATTTCCTTTAGGTCCTTGCCCAGGATGCAACCCACAACACTCAACCAAACACCCAGTTACCTGTTTATTTCTATGTAACACGTGTAGTAGGTGTAAGGAGACATGCTCTTATTATTCACAGCGCTGTATGACCATTTTGGGTTTAGCGCTTAGTTATGATTATAATCAGATTTCTCAGCCTGCCCGAGAAACGAACCCGGTTCCTATCGGTCGTGAGCCAAACGCTCTTGTTACATAAACTAAATGTGCAAAAGAAGCGAATTTTATGAATGACAGAAATATTACGGCTAAAAGTATGATGATATAGCAATGCTAAATAGAGAGTTTGTCCTATGCTAATTAGCTTTCTGCATAACATGTGTGGGGTAGTTGCCCTTGCTTCAACAGTGATGCCTTTATGCTGAAGGCATCACTCTGGATATTAAAGTAATATCCCTGCTCGTGAGAAATAGATTAATTTTATAGAATATACTTAAAACAGTTTATCTTAAAGATTAATATTACATAGAAGTTCTAACCTTCATGAACCAGAGATATTTATTGTATCGTGTTAGCTCACCATGTGTGTAGCGTTGAGAACACAGCGTCTAATAGCCAGATTGGCTACAGAATCAGAGGTTGGCTGCCTCATCAGGTTGCTTGCGGACACTCCAGTCACCACGGCTTTACCTGCGGGCCAGTAGATACCTTTAACTATATGCTTATTTTTGCTTAAATATAACTAACTTAAGTAATCTAATTTTTGTCTAACCAAATATAAACTAATAACACTTGACGTTCTCGAGTCCTCAAAGAAAATTAGCGCAGGAAGATGAGAAAAAAGTTGGTAACAATGGTTTCTTCTTGGTAGTTTCGAGGGCCTGTGACGAGTTTCACTGTATCACTGTATCCTAGGAAAACATGTGTGTCTTGCGGCGAGCAGACGCAGTAGCCCCAAACCCTTCACCACTGTAGCTAAATGACCCACTGGAATTTAGCACTGTATACAAATATAATAACCCTACATCTACTTAAGCACAAGAAAACTCAATAAATTATTATCCTCTAACCAATCTACCTATCACACAGGTTACCTGTTTACTGTTAAGTAAACACGCTCTATGACCCTTGTAGGTTTAGCGCTTCTTTTTTATTATAATAGATGTAATGTTAAGTAAACAGGACAAGCAGGTATAAGATTTACCAATACGTTTCCCCTCAAGCCCGTGAATCAAACAAAGTTTATACTACAGATAAAAATACTTGACATTAGAGTACCTAAATGTAATCAGTCAGTTGAAAAAAAACACTAACGTGGTAAGAAATTAACACTTATGAAAAAAAATATTTTAATATAATTACGATGCATCAGACAGATTCCAAGTAGATTCTTAAGCCTTTTAAAAATGTATATTGCGGTATTACTCACCGATACTCTCATAGTAATCTGAATTAAGCGGGACACCGGTGGTGTTGGCACAGGCAGTGATGAGGTCAGGAGTGCCAAGCAACGGTGCCAGTAGATCGTCCAGGGGAGAACACTGACCCTGCTTCACCACGCACTCAGCTAGTGTGTCTGTTTTGCCACACATTGATGCTGCAAAAATATATTTTCTTGATTTCCAGAAATTGGAGCTACCACTTTTCTTCCTTAAATCAAGCCTGGTGCTTATGACCTACGGACTTAGCGCTTCCCTCTAATTACAATAATAATTCAAAGAAGGGAGGGTAGCTTCTGTGTGGAAGACTACGGACATGTTAAATTAAAGTAAAGCGTTTTGAATTTCAATGCCTCTCGTTACTGAGAGACATTCAAATTCAGATCTTTATTTAACAAAAAAAAATCTTTCAAGGATTTGCCCAAAAAAAAAGTAAGTTCCAAAAGCAGAACGTTTCGAACAATTCCAAGACCATACCTTCTGACTAGGACCTAAACCTGCTTAATAATGCACAGTAAAAGTTTAGATTGTTTAAATACGTACTTAGTTCAATATAACATGTTAATATATATAAATTAATTAATTAATAATATATTTGAGACAAAGAACTTTGTCCTTGGAGGCAAAGGGGAATGAATGAGAGTATAGTTTTACCAACGCTCTTATATGGGTGTGAAGCATGGTGATGAATGTTGCAGCGAGGAGAAGGCTGGAGGCAGTGGAGATGTCATGTCTGAGGGAAAATTGTGGTGTGAATATAATGCAGAATTCGTAGTTTGGAAGTTAGGAGGAGGTGGGGGATTACCAAAACTGTTGTCCAGAGGGCTGGGGAAAGGGTGTTGGGGTTTGGTTCGGACATGTAGAGAGAATGGAGCAAACAGAATGATTCAAGAGTGAAACAGTCTGTAGTGAAGGAAGGGGGGGTAGGGTCGGCCTAGGAAAGGTTGGGGGGAGGGGTAAAAGGAGGTTTTGTGTGCGAGGGGCTTGGACTTCCAGCGGGGCATGCGTGAGCGTGTTTGATGGGAGTGAATGGAGACAAATGGTTTTAATACTTGACGTGCTGTTGGGGTGTGAGCAAAGTAACATTTATGAAGGGGTTCAGGGGAAACCGGCAGGCCGGACTTGAGTCCTGGAGAGGGAAGTACAGTGCCTGCACTCTGAAGGAGGGGTGTTAATGTTGCAGTTTAAAAACTGTAGTGTAAAGCACCCTTCGGCAAGACAGTGATGGAGTGAATGATGGTGAAAGTTTTTCTTTTTTCGGGCCACCCTGCCTTGGTGGGAATCGGCCAGTTGATAAAAAAATATATATATATATAAATATATATATATAATATATATATATATATATATATATTATATATATATATATATATAAATTATTTTATAATATATAATATATATATATATATATATATATATATATTTGTCCCTTATTGAGAGATACCATTTTTTCAATATTTGTTTAAGGTTTTCTCCCGTCACACTTTTTTTTTCCCCCCCTGGTAGGCAGCACAACAGGGAAACAAAGCTGGCGACAAGACCAGCAAACAGGGGCCCCTGTTTTTTCAGCGCTCCATCAGCATCTGTATCGCAAACTTTGCTGCTTGGAGGGGTAGGCCTTTGACCGGGGGTATTACCCCTGCATTAATTTTGTTATACATACAATATTAAATATAGTGCTGGAAAAATTTAAAATTGCAAGTAAAAACCCCAACATCAATTTTTACTCTGTCCCCCAGAGGGGCTATTCACTGTACCCTGTGGCCACCTTTGAGAGGTTACACTTAAAAAACTGTAAAAAGTATCAAAACTAGTCTTTGTTACATCATTGGGCATAGTTACTTATATCTTTAAGATACGTAATTTGTATATTAACTCAATCATAAAATTTTTATCTAGGGTCTGGATACCAGATTTTCAAAGAGCTAAGTTTTATTATCAATTTTTTACGACCATGCTAAAGTGGGTAATTTAATATCTACTCTGGCTTTACTTGGGTTTCGCCTGACCCCTTTCCCATATGATTTTTATACGAACCTTCGTCTGATCAACTAAACTATCGCATAGTGAATTAAAATTAGAGGGAAAGGGTCAATTATTACTTTTTTTTGTAGGTTTTTAATCGCCAATTTTTCACGTGCAGATAGGGAGGGAATTTTCGGTGATAAGAACACTTCTTCCCATTTGGGTTCAAAATTCCGTACAGGTAAATTTATTAAAAACAAATTCTACTTGCCAAAGAAAAAGTAAGGTGGCAATATTACCATAAAAGTGATTTTTTTTCTGAAAATAATTTGCCTAATATCTAAAAAATGTTATGCAGATGTTTTTTCCTCAGAGGAAATTTTTGCAATTTTGGGGAGTGCAAGGAAAAAATTTTTTTTCATTTTATTAAAGAAATTTTAATATCGGTTTACTTTTTGATAACTGCAATATATACATGTATCTCTAATGGCTTCAAACCTACAATGCGATGTATTTCTCAGAACTTCGGATTTTTAGCATTCTCGGCCCTCTTAAGGGGGTTTATTACAGCTCTGGCCTTTTTAAAGACTTAAAATAAAGGCTAGACTTCTTGAGTGTGTATCCCTTCAGTTATTATTTTTATTGTTAATTTATTTTTAATTTTTACATTTTAGAGGAGCGATAAAACCCCGAGGAGTTAACAGCACCTTTAAAAAATGGGAGGCAATAGGTTTTTTTTCAAAAAAAAAAGATTTTTCAAAAATTTCCTTTAATCAATAGCTCCTGGGCCCTCGGGAGTTTAGTTGTCGCCCCCCGTCACTAGACGGTTTTTTAAAAGATTCAATACTGTGCTTCTTGCCTGGGTTGAGGCAGACGAGGCTGGGGTATGGGGGGCACCTTTCTCAGTCATCGAGATACGGGAGTGGGGTTTTTCGATACGGGGGTACCTTTCTTGAATAATTTAAATTTGAGGGGGTGGATTACAGATACTGGAATACCTTTCTTTGTACTGATATGCCTTTAGTAAGATATATTAAACAAAAGTAAAAACTAATCAAGAACGAACCTTGCTGTCTGCTTCCTTGGAAGAATCTGCACCCCGTAGCGGCCCAGCAACGTATAGGAATCAAAATATCACAGCAACTCCATGTGCATATCTAGAAAATCCATCTCGACCAATCACATTTGACTTCAAAGATCTCTTTAGCTATGTTAAATCTGAGAGGTCAAAGCCTCCAGGCAGAGGATAAGTCAGGCAGTCTGAGCAGCACAGAGGTGACACGGCATGAACGCTATGTAATGCGGACCAAGTGTTCATTGTGGTAGAGTGTGTCACCCGGTATATCCATTGAGTCGAGGCTAGGACCATGTCCGCTCGCCTCAACAAGCATTCTCTTTCATCTTTAACAACTCAGAATTATTATTATATCGTAAGGAATAAAATAGAAACGGTTGCGTATGAGCAAGCAGTTGGAATGCAGCAGCTCCCTGGACTAGGATAATGAACTTTAGGAACAAAACTTGACCTTTTTCACGGCAGCATCTTGGTAATATTTTTTTTTATTTGTTTGGGGGGATCAATTCATTTAATTTGCTATGTCAGAAAGGCTTTGTCGTATGTTAGTTACCCCATGGAAATAAGTCTCTCTGTCCGACTTTTTTGGGTTTTCTAGGTTCTTCTACAACATATGCTGCTATGTATGATATTCTATGTAACTGTATTGTGTTACCTGAATAAATTTTTACTTACTTAACTTTACTTATTCTTCTTTAATTGTCTTGGTGCTATTTTATGCTCTTATAATGCCTTATGTGGAATAGTTAAGGCCATTTGACAAAAAAATGGGAAAAATTTCTTGATCCTTCCTTCAGAAAGAGTTCTCTTCGAAGCAGGTGCTCAAATGTATCTTTTGGTGGGACAGTCTTTTCTTCATAATAATATTATTGTTTGACCCTTGTGGGCTTAGCGATTAGTTATGATTGTAAACAATAATATTGTTTATGGGCAAGCGTTAATTCCGTAGGGGTCATTACGCGTCTTATAATGGGAACGAGTGCAGGGGATTGATAAGGTATGATGCGAGAATGACGTAAGAGGAAAACTAGTTCCAGCTAATTTAAGAGGATGGGCTGAACATATATCTCAAGCTGAGGGACTGGTCCACTTCAACCCTTCCTCAATCTTCCACCGTTCTTCCCTGTTCCGGATGAAGAAGCCACTGGCTGGCGAACGTTTTCCACATAAAAATACCTTAAATGTTACACGTGTCTTCTTGGATCAGAATCCTTCGTTATTTAGAAGTACGCCTTCTTGCCTAGTTCACTCCAGTTGACCGTGCTTACTGTGAGTAGTGTTGTTGTCCTCCTCTTCCCTTATTTCAAAGCTCAGCAATATCAAGACGGGACTGAGCTTTGAAAATAAGGAAAGTGGAGGGAGAACAACACAATCACAGGATAAGCACGGGGTACACAGTGAACGAGGCAAGATGGCGGTACTTCTAAATAACGAAGGATTCTTGATCAAGAAGACACGTGTAACAGTTTAGGTTATTTTATTGTGGAACGTTGCAGTGTCTTCTTGGATCAAGAATCCTTCGTTATGTAGATAGTACCGCCTTCTTGCCTCGTTCACTGTGTATCCGTGCTTATCCTGTGAGTAGTTGTTGTTGCCTCCTCTTCCCTTATTTCAAAGCTCAGCAATATCAAGACGGGCTGTGATTCGTTACGTCCAGTTTGTATGCGGCCAGCAGTAACAGCCTAATCCCCGCGATGTAGTAAACACAGATTTTGACAAAAAAAAAAAACCTTTTGACAAGTGCGATCATAGTGCAAAAAATTGGTACTAAAGGATAACTGGTTAAGTAGGCAGATGGATCTTCAAATTTCTAACAAATTTAACACAAAGAGTTGTGTAAAGAGTTATTCGGAAGGCTGCTATAGTGAAGAGCTCTGTTCCACAAGGCACGTACTCGCACTATCCTGTTACTTCACTCTTCAGCTTGACATAGACGAGAGATTGTAAACCACAGCACTGTATCTGTGGAAAAGTTGGGTTTACTTGGATGTATAATTTTATTTTACATACAGTTAAATGAAACAATGATAACTATTATTCTATCAGTTAGGCTAGTAGGAATTTGGAACACTTAGTAACGGTCGCAAAAAAATGTCTTCTCTTCGATACCCCT